AGAAACAACATTATTAGATAGCTATCATAAAATCTATCCTTCAAATTATGCCAATGTGTTAGATTAACTCTGCTTGAGCGTAGGATCAATCCCACCCAGGTGATGTGTCCTATATCCAGTCAGGAATAATTCTTTATGATAATCTTATGATAATCTGATCATTATAATTACTAGAACCTTAATATTAATAACAAGATTCAAGCAGTATTCACCTTTTACTACAATGCTTGGTTGGTGTTTTAATTGCAGGAAAAAAGACTTGTTAAGAATTCTGAACACATTCTCCATAATAACCATTATATTCAGTGTCCCATATGCTACCTTCCACAATAAATATACTGGATTTACAGTGGTTTATGATCTCAATCTACAGTTACTTCATTGTAAGAAGCCGGTAACAATACATAGCCATCCTGCCCCGCATGGTGCTGGTCGATTCTGTATTCTCTTTTTTTCCATCCTTGCTTTATTTCTATATTATTCAGGACCCCTTTGACACAGCACAGGATAGAAATACACCTTAAACCGATTAAGGCAACAGAAAAGGAATTGGTTGGTTCACAGAACTAAAAAGATTGTGGAGGAAACTCATAACATTGAAAGAATGCTTGCAAAAAATAGAGTGTTGGAAGCCAGGGTTCAGTACTCTCAGGAACTCTGTGTATCCATCTCTGCTTGGTTTTAAACTGTAGACTGACTTTCTCCAATGAAAGAAAAGTTGGGTGTGGTAACCCAGTTTAGTAACCCAGAGCAGCCCTGACTGGCCCCGGCTGGCCCACAAGCCCACCCCTCAAGCTAATTACTGAGGCCAGTGGGTGCGGTCATATTACTGACCAGGCTATTTTGTTGTAGGGGACAAAATCTTCTAAGGGTAGGATGGGGGAGGGATGCATATTATACAGGCAAATTGAAGCTATACACTAGGGCAGTTTAAGAGCTATGATCTTGGCCCTATTATACTGCTCAAAATACAATCTCTGTGTTTGATCCATTGGCTTCCGTGGAAATATTTCCTCCAATATATTCTTTAACATTGTGTCTGCCATCGGAAATAGATTACTGCCATTTTCTGTCTTGTCAAAAATGAATGCTGGCTGTCTGCATCCTTTCCATAGAAATTAATATCATTGGTGCGTGAGGGATTTTACAACCCTCTGTCACTTTCTGCTGTTAATTGGAACTGAAAAAGGAATCCTCTTTGTGCAGTACTATGGCACATCATGTATAACACCAGGAACATTCTTTTGTCAATAGTAGCTCCGAACCGAACCGTAATGCTTAAGCACTTCACGCCCAATGTCTTGTGAATGATATTTAGATTTCATGTAGACTCTCTTCTGTGGTTGTCTAATTGTTTAGAATTCTCAATTTTTTCCCCCTCAATACTGTGGTCCAAAGTACAATATTCTTCTTATGCAAGAGTCTGTCCTCTAAAGCCATGAACAATGTGTTTATCTTTTGTGCTGACATCCTGCTTTTCCCTTCTAGTTATAACATTCTGCATTGTTTTATTCTGTCTTGGAATGCCTGGGATGACCTCTTCCAGGGCAACTCTTGATTCTTCCCTGTTCTTTGAGCCTGCGATCCTCCTCTGCCTTCTGAAAGACTTGACCTTCAACACCTCATTAGCATTATGGATCTCTAGTCCACTGCCAGCGTCTAAGCCCCAATAGTTTCTTTGCCATTCCATGACCTGATAGCTGAACTTTCCCACTGTAGCTTCCCCTAACAGAGAGTTACACTCCTGACAAACCCATAAAGCAATTGATTTTTTGTTTGGTTTTGTTTCTTAGTGGTTCTTTCCTTGCAATAAAGACATCAAAGATACGCCATCTTCCTCCTTCCCGAAGCCTAGCCACTTCAAGAATCTCATTTCAAATACATTCCTTACAACCCATTTTTGCATTTTGTGGTTTTTAATCTCCTTGTGTTGCCTTCTACTAATAAGATCAGAAAATTTCTAGTACTGCGGATCAAAATTCCTTAGAGAAGAATAAATCAATCAACAGCTGTTTATTTATAAGTCTAGATTTGCAAGTGGAGAATGAGAGTAATCTCTTTAAGGACTTGGAAGAAAACGGCAATAATTATATTTGTTTTACTTCAGCATGTAAATCAAAATGAAAAGGTTGCTCTCATAAAAATGAAAGCAATAATGTTTTAATTAACAAGGGAATATCAATTGCTCTAAAAATAAAACATTTTTTTTATAATTAGTGTTAATATTTTTTTTCTTTAATAACTTTCTTAGCATAGAAAGGAGGAAAGTTATGTGCCAGATGCTTTATGGGTACAGATTTAAAATGTCATGATTTTTTGCAGCATTGTAACCTACAAAAGAAACCATAATAAATTGTATTGACAAGGTTTTCATGCTTAAGCCTACATTTTATTGTACCATTATCCCTGAACAAATTGAGGCACAATATTTCATTAGGCTGGACACATACATTATTGAACATATAAAAGAATATCAAAAGCCATTCAATAGTCTTAGCAAAGAGGATCAATATTAGGTTTTGTATGTTTGTGTAAAAAATACTTTCCATATCATGGCTATAGCTTTTATAATAAAATTCATTTTAAAAATACCCCAAATGAATTTATTTTAAAGAGATGCATTTTAAAGGTATTTTTTTTCATAAGGACTTTAATATTTGGAGTCATATTTAGAAAAGAAAAGGTTCACACTCATTTACAAAATACACCTGAGAAAAGGATTCGGAGTCAGTTCCAACAATAGTCCTGCTAAGCCATCTATTACTTACTAAGTGGCATGCAATTTAGTGAGAGTAAAGTATCTGGGATTGAAATTCCACACAAAGACTCCCCATCTTCTACCATTAGAGATATTCACTTGTCACAGAGAATCTAGAGGTTTGTAAGGCTTTTACAAGAGGAAAACTGAATACTCCATGTAAATAAACATTAATCATAACAAACTGGAGTAGCTGTATTAATATCAAAGTAGACTTCAGAACAAGTAACAAAAAGGGACATTGCATAATGATAAAAGGGCCAATTCACCAAGACAAAGTAACAGCCCTACATGTATGTCAACTAATTATAGAGTTTCCAAATACAGAAAGCAAAAGCTGATTAAAAATGAAAGAAGCAGGCAAACACAGTTATTGTTGGAGATGTCAACACTCATCTCAGAAACTGATAAATCAGACAGCAAATCAAGATATAGATTTGACTAGCAACCTACCAACTTGACCTAACTGCTCAGTGTAGACGGCTTCACAAACTTCAAAATCCACATTCTTTTAAAATGTACACAGAACATCCACCAAGATAGACTAGTACATCCTCTCCAATTTCGGTTGGGTATTTAAACCTAAATGTTCAATACTGATGTAAGAAGTATTTGTTCAAGGGACAATAGCATTTGATGATGAAGACCCTTGGATTCCAGTTGGTCCTACCAATCTTGCTCCTTACTACCTTGTTTCCAAGTGGTATTACAAGGAAAGCAGGTCTCAAACTTAAGTCTGTTGATCCTACAAATATTTAATAGCAAGTAGCCAGAAAAACAGCCATCTACTCTCTTAGCCACTCCCAGTTCTCAGATGCCCTGACAAGCACATCACACAGAAGGCTCACTCCAAGGCAGATGCAATGATATTTTGCTGGTAGGATCAGCAAACGTCCTGGTTGTTTTGGTTACATAATCATCCAGTGAGGGTGGGGTCCCAGGGTCAAAAAGGAACCGTGGATGGAAGGGGCTACTCTAACACCAGTGGGATGTGAACCTTACGAGGATCCTATACCGCATTTATTCAAGGGCAGCAGAGCCTATAAAATCTTCCTTGCTTTCCACATATCTTGAACCTTGTTCATTGACCAATGAAATGATTTTACCTATATTCCTTGTGCTAATTCACAAGCTTATGTGCCTGACACTGCTTCATAACTGAGCTCCTGCACTGTCAGTCCTTGCAGCTAAAACAGGAGAGAAGGTACACATGGAAAGGCTGGGCCATAGGGACCCACAAAATTGCATATGCAATGAAGAAGGGAGGAAGAAGAATATATATGTATTTACTCAGATTTGGATGCCTAAGACTTGCAGTAACTGATATTATATTCATGGTACTGGATTGCATCTGAGAAGTGGAAATCAACTATAACTGGCTTTTCAAGTTACTGACATTTATTAAAGGATTATCCAAATTAACAAAAAGAGCATTCAATATTAAATGAATCAATCTAAACTAAATCTTTCTATTAATAGGTACCACAACACACACGTTTGTTTGAGACAGAGGTAAGGCCACAGTACCCTAACTTGTAGATAGCAAGTCTGCAATGCTCCTTTTTCCCCCTTGTAGAAATGGATTAGATATTAGGACTCTCATCAGAGTGAGTTCTAGGGCCTCCAAACAGAAACTCAATCTTAAAGTATCACCAACCTTTAAATCTTAGGAGAAAAGTAGGATAGTATCTTCCCTTTCCCAACACTCGAGAGCATGCATGTGCACACACACACTCCCCCAAGGGAGAAAGAACCATCAAACCTTGAGAGTTTGTACCCCCTCTAGTAGGTCACTGTATGTGACCAGTTTGTCTGGGGTTGCTGCTATTCACACACTTGCTCAGATTCGCTACATGCAACAAAGCTAGCGAAACCTATCATGTTGATCTTCGAGGTGAATAATGACAAATTATTGAACAAACAAACAACCTTCTGGCTCTGTTAACTCGACCCAAGTGGCTGTAGGTTGCATGGATTTGCAAATTAAGCAACTCTAAGATGCAGCTGAATTTGGGCTGCCTTCCGGTGTTAGTACTGAGAAGATGCTACAACGGGGACTTAGTGTCACAATTTTTACACTCATGCATCCACAACAGTTCTCAATTTTTACATGTACGTGAATCACCTGGATTTTGTCAAGACCGCAGATTCTGACTCAGCAGGATCTGAGGTTCCGGGTTCCTAATTAGCTGGCGCCCGTGTGGCGGAGCCCTGCACCGACTCTGGGCAGCAGGGCTCGCATGGCACGCGGCAGCTTCACCGCCGCCCAGTCTGCCACACAGTCTGACTTTTCAAACATGCGATTTTGAAAACGTGAAGACATGTAACTATTCAAAAAATAAAGAAAATTACAAAACAAGCAAAATAATCTTTTTACCGAAACCCCAGTATTCTACAGGAGACAAGCAGCCAAGTAGAAACCACGGGTACATGAGCAGTAGCTCGGTTCTCTGTAGGAACTCTTGACTTGGAGCAGAAGCTTTTTATCATGTGCATCAGGAAAGTTTCCGTCCTCCTGCAACAAATACCTTTTCTGTGGTCAGACCTTCCCCAACAATTTAATTTTCTCCAGATCTCCCCTCTATGACGCCCCACCACTGTGTGCACAGCAAGAGAGAGGGGCTGTTCAACATGGTTATACCCACCAAAGGCCCCCTCTTCTCTCCTGCCTCCTCCCTCCATCCAAAGCCCACACAGATTAAGACAGCAGTGGATTTGGGTGAAAAGCCTCCAACAAAATGCCCACCTAGTGTGTGACTCTCCATCTTCAAGTTATGAGGGTTCACGGACTACAGATGTGGCAAGGGCTGAACAGTAAAGACATGCTTTACTACATACAAAGCACCGCCCTGGGAACTGTGTCACCGGGCAGACCGTTAGAGCAGAAGCAACCCTGGGGGAGGGAGTGTGAAGCTCCATTCCTCCAACCTCTGCTTCAGGAACATCTTTGATATGCAGAGAGTGATTATTTCTCCTCGGTCAATCTGGGATGTCTGAAGGGGAAGGCAACACTCATCACTCATTTTTCATTCCATGGCCACTTAAGTCCATTGCTGCCAAGGAGACGAGGGACTGGCTAAATGACTTCTAATTAAAAATATAGGAAAGCTTAAAGTGACTTCATAAAGATGTCATGGCAATATAGTGCATTAGTAAATCACCATAATTCCCCAGATCTAAGCAAATAGGCATAAATCTATTTCTTCTTGAATTTTTTTTTCAGGATATGAGTGTCTAGCCCACACCAAAGGTCTACTTGAGCACAATTTAAGTTCTTTTCTCATTTCCCAAATAACATCTGTAAAACGATTTATGTTCTTCCTAACCAAGGGGAAAGCAAATCCCTTCTATATAAATATATATAAGAATCTGACACTATTCCAACTACCCTTATTCCATACAGCCTCCACTCAGGCAAACTTCTTCCTCCCTTTCTTCAAGCTGTTTCCTTCTTTCTGTCTCCTTTGTGGCTAAAATTGACCTACTGCATAGATCCAAACCTATCTGACTCACTCGCTCCCCCAAACGTACTGAAAAGCCTTGAGAAAATTCATGAAGCACCATTAAATACTGAATTAAAACTCTCAAGGGGAAAAAAATGTGTTTCATTATAATCAAGTCAGAAAATAGATTTGCTCCCCATTCTCTATGTAATGCCAAACACCTGTGCTATCTTAGACTAGTCACTAGATTCAGTGACGTCTGTGTCTTCATCCAAGTTGCTTATTTTCACAATGAGGTAAAAATAAATGCGACTGAAGCTTCATTTAGAGATCTTGTTCCCTTAACTCACTGCTCGGACACACCCCACCCTCATCTTCAGTCTTTGCCCTGTACCTACCCTCATGATCCGCCGTTAGAAACAGCCATTGGTTTCTTCTCCATTGGGTCCAGCTTGTGTATTCACAGACATGGGTTCTGCACATCTCCTGAAACCTAAATGTGTATATAGATTACCTGGATATTTTATTAAAATTTAAATTTACTTCAGTAATTCTGGAGTAAGGTCCGAAATGCTACATTCCTGACAAGCTGCTAGGTGATGCCAATGTTGCTGATCTGAGATCCCACATTGGTTTATTTTTATTTATTTATTTATTTTTGAGACAAAGTCTCATTTTGTTGCCCAGGCTAGAGTGAGTGCCATGGCGTCAGCCTAGCTCACAGCAACCTCAAACTCATGGGCTAAAGCAATCCTGCTGCCTCAGTCTCCCGAGTAGCTGGGACTACAGGCATGCCCCACCATGCCCGGCTAATTTTTTCTATATATATTAGTTGGCCAATTAATTTCTTTCTATTTTTATAGTAGAGACGGGGTCTTGCTCTTGGTGAGGCTGGTTTCGAACTCCTGACCTTGAGCAATCCGCCCGCCTTGGCCTCCCAAAGTGCTAGGATTACAGGCGTGAGCCACCGCGTCCAGCCCCACATTGGTTTAAAATGTTCTATTGTGACCCTTTTAGGGTTTGGGGGCACCAAACAACAGCTCTAGGGGTAAAATTATACTGGCTTTTTACGTCATTTCTGCCAAATAAAAGGCCAAATCAGCCCACCAGTGAATGTGTGAATACCTACGATAAAATCCCTAGTAAAATACTTTCACCTTAGCTTAGTAGATATTTGCTAAAGCATTTGCCATTTCAAGATCTGAAAGACTTCTCTCCGAGCCTCTCAGAGGCTGTCAGTAGCCCATCAAAGTAATTAATATCCCTCTCCTTATCTCCTCATCACCAAGTTTTAATATAAGATTTATAATTCAATTCTCTGCAGATGGGTTTCAAGGCCAAAGAGTCTTTCCAGTGTTCTCAGGCTAATATTAGTTTATCCATTTGACAAATATTTACTAAGCACCTGCTCTGTGCCAGGCACTATTCTGTGCGCTGTTTACTGATGACCACAGAGCACAAGGCAAACGAGGTTCTGGCAGTTTCAAAGCTCGCCTTCCATAAGGGTAGATGGACAATAAAAACATAAAAAATAAATAATTTCGAAGAGTCATAAGTAAATGACAAAAATAAAAGAGCAGAATGGGATAGAGCGGGACTGAGAAGTACTACTTCCTAGAGAGTGACCAGGGAAAGCCTCTCTGAGTGACCCCATTGGAGCAGAGACGTGAATGCTGAGAAGACACCAGCCATGGAAAGGTCTGAAAGAAGAGCAACCTAACCATCTGATTTTCATGATTTACTCTGGAGACAGCCTCCTTCCAGGCTGTGGCTGTGTGTTCAGAGTTCCCTGGGTCTCACTCAATGTGTGTGAAAGGACCACTTTGCAAATCCAGTCGGTTATGACTTCTCCTGTCTACATTTTAGGCTGTTTACCAAAAAAGGCTGATGGCGAGTGCCTGCATGAGAGTCAGCTCGTCCCACACAAAGAGTGGAGTGTAGGTATGGATTTCCACGATCCAGGAGCAAATTATACGTAGAAGATTTAAGCCCATCATTCATTTCTGAAAAGAAGGGAATTTTTTCTTAGATAAACATTTATTGAGCACTTGCTAGATGAGAAACGATCTTTATACACATATATACAAAAGGATAAAATGTGGGTAGATAGAGATGAATATGATATGAATTTTGTCATAAGGAGCTTACAAATAAAACATAAAGTAAAATGGGAAAAGTGAGAAACTAAAAGTACAAGGTAATGGGAATAATCACTCAGAAGGACCAGTGACTCATTTCTGCCAGGACAATCTGTAAATGCCCCAGTGAGAAGTTAGTATTTGACCCAAGCCTTGAAATACGACACATGAGGTGCCATATGCATAGATAGTAATAAAGGCCATGGAACTAAGTAAGACTAGTTAGGGAGTGGAGGGAAGAAAAGAGGCCTAAAGGCTGACTCCTGCACAACCTTGTCAATGGCCTGAGGAGGAAGATGCACAGGAAATGGAGCTTTCAACTGTGTCACATGATGCACAGAGCCAGTAAGATGAGCAGCAAAAACTGACCTTTGGATCTAACATTGAGGAGGTCATTGGTGACCTTGCAAAGAGCCTCTTTAGTGGGGAGTTAGAAAGGAAAGATTTATTGACGTGCATTCAAGAGAAAAATGGGAGAATTGAAAATTGGCACTACAGATCAGGGCTTCTCAAACTTTAATGTCATTATGAATGTTGGAGATCCTGCTAATGTGTAGTCTCGATTTAACAGGTGCAGGGTGGGGCATTTCTACCAAGCTCGCAGGTGATGCTGATGTGGATCATAATTTGAGTTTCAAAAGAAGAGAATCTTTCAAGAGTTTTCTATTACTATAAAGAGGAGCAATAAAAAAGGGTGGGTGAACAAAGTAACTGGAAGAGGATGTGGGGTCAAGGGAATTATTTTTAAGATTTGCACCATCACAGCATTGTATGTCCATGAGAATGGCCCAGAGGTGAGAGAGAGGGGAAAAAAAAGCACAGATGGGGTAAAGAGGGGCTAATTGTTTGAACATTTCAACAAAGGGGAAGTCCTGGAGGGAAGCTCGGGCAGTTCACCCATATAGAAGGGGTGAAGTTCATGGGTGCAGATGCAGATGAGAAGGGTGGCGGAGTGCATAGCGGGTCCCTCCCAATTGTTTTATTTCTCAATGCAGTAAGGTAGTTAGCTGATAGGACTGGGTAGAAGCTGATTAGTGGTCCAAGGAAAGAGGGGCCAGTTGGAAATAACTGTGAGGAAGTAAATCGAAGAAGGCAGCTGTCTTCAACCCTATCAGACCCATGACCCCTTTTATAACACATTTTTAACTCCTGCTACTATTGTGAAAATAAAATGATAGTTAATGTTACCCACCTACACACATTTTTAAACCAACAGAATGCCTTCACCGTAATACAAAAAAAAAAGGAAAATAATTCATAGTAAAATAACAAGCATTTCCACATGTAAATGCGCAGGGGTGAGTATACTATACTATTAATAAGTTAGCAAACCAAAAACATCTCCACAAACATGGCTAATGCCCCCTAGGGGGCGGTACTGCCCTTGTTGAGAATCCAATTGCTTGACATGACTAAGGGTCCGCTGGAGGTCGGTGACTGTGATTTCATGGGACACACGTTAGCACAGTTGCACGTTTTGTTCAGCTGCTTGGATGCACGCTCCAAGGGGGCGCAGTTGCATTTATCAGGCTGGCAGCTTCACTGGGGGACTAACTGGACTGAAAATGGAGCAAAGAAGTTGAAGGTCCAGGTCCACAATCTCTATCTGCAATTCCAAAATCCCAAAAGAGCTTTGAAAATACAACTTGGGTGTGTGTTTTTTATAAGGTTGTTCAACACTCATTTGGCAGTAAAACTCAACCTGAATAGACACAAAGCTATTTACAGCCTTTACTGATCCCACTTATTTGGGAATAATCATTAGGGGTCCCTGCAGATGATAATATATAACAAGGCACAGGAACTGTATTATCTTTCTAAAATCAGAATGTGTGTATAAATTTGGAAACACAACTGACTTCAGGGTCTGGAATAAAGGCTTATGACCTGTATACATAAGGGAATTAATAAAATGATGGGCCATGTAATCTAACGCAGGTCAAATAGGGAACTAGAACATGAGCAGTTAACAAACAGTGAAAAGGTGGAGGAGTCACTGGATTCTACATCCTTGTAGGGCAGACTGTTGGATGAGAAAGGCTGGCAGTGAGCCAGAAAGATTGGAAGTGACGGCCACAGAGTTGGATGCCGTTAACTGAGAATCTGAATGGGGTATGGTTACAGGGATGATGAGTTCAGACTACGAGGAAGCTGAGAAGTGAGGATGCCAAGGCCAGTCTACTGGAAAAAACCATCGACATGCACGTTAGCAACACGAAGATTAGTTCTGAGGCACTTAGATGTCATTGCACCAAAGAGTAGTGGTGGTCAGCATACTCTGATAACTTCACCTTCCAGCTCGAGCTGGGAGGTGTGAAGTTAGGAAGGGAGAGGGGTCTGGAGGGGGTAAGGAAGGGAGAACACTTACCCCATGGGGAGGGGTGATGGGTGTGAACAGACTGCAGCCCTCATGCCCTTAATCATCTCCCAAAGGCCACACCTGTGAACACCACCACATTGGGGGTGAGATTTCAGCACGTGAATTGTGGAGGGACACAAACATTTAGACCATAGCAAGAGTCCAGTCTTAGAAGGAAGAAAAGTTCTTATTAAACTGCCAAAAAATAACATTAACAAATCATTATCAAAGTCTGAGGAGAATCTTCGGTCTAAAAAATACCCTTTGGACCCTGTACTTAAGACTCTTAGATAAACCCACCACTAAATTCTCATAGAGAGAATGAACCATGCTTACAGCTTTCTTCTAAAGAGCATAAAAACTTTTGATATACAACAGTATGGTGACAAATCTCATTCTTTTCAGCATGAAGTACCTACCAAACAGCTTCCATTTAGATATAAAAAATAAAAATCACAGTTAAATGTGGCTTACCATCTCATCTCAAAAATCATACTTCACTAAGATATTAAATTCCAAATAGAAAACATATATCATTGACTGCTTTTTTTTTAAATAGAAACTCTAAAAATACATTTAACAAGCTCTTTAAACAATTGACTGAACTTGGAAAAATTAACTTTACCTTTAAATTTTGTGTCCAACAGCAAGACTTGGGTTCTAAACTTTGCCCCATAAACTAATACCTGTGTGGCTTTGAATAAGGCATTTATCATTACTGACTTCCCATTTCCTCCTCTATAAAATGGATAATAACCATTCATAACGTTGCTATAAAGATCAAACAAGTATGTAAAAAGGCATTATAAATTACAGCAAATAATAACGCAAGAGACTTTTTTTAGGAAAAATACAAGTATAGAGTTTGCAAAATACCGTAATGTAAAATGGTATATTAGACCACAGTGACGCATCTCAAAGAAGTGAGCACACTTGGGTTTTAATCTGAGTTTAGTCATTTACCAGTGTGTAAACTTCCTTTGTGCAACAGGGTTATCATTTTAAAATATAAATAAAATAGGGAGGCTGAGGCAGGAGGATCATTCAATCTCAGGAGTTCGAAATCAGCCTGAGCAAGAGCAAGACCCCATCTCTACTATAAATAGAAAGAAATTAATTGGCCAACTAATAATTATAGAAAAAATTAGCCGGGCATGGTGCCACATGCCTGTAGTCCCAGCTACTCAGGAGGCTGAGGCAGGAGGATTGCTTGAGCCCAGGAGTTTGAGGTTGCTGTGAGCTAGGCTGATGCCATGGCATTCACTCTAGCCTGGGCAACAAAGCAAGACTCTGTCTCAAAAAATAAATAAATAAAAATAAATATAAATAAAATTATATTAATAACGGGAATAATAACCATCTTATAAATTTAATTTCAAGATAAAATGAGACCACGTAAGTAAAGCATTCAATTAACATTAGCTAAATCAAATAGAGATAGAGTGAAGCTCTAAAAATGAAAGGATCTTTTAAAAGTTTAAGGTTAATAAGCATTTATAGATGAAGCAAGTTTTCTTGTAATACTTCATTCCTATTCCTCATGAGCTAAAGATTTAAGGTTTTTTTTGTTTTTTATTTTTCTTTTTGAGACGAGGTCTCACTATGTTGCCCAGATTAGCTTCAAATGCCTGAGCTCAAGTGATCCTCCTGCCTCAGCCTCCCAAGTAGCTGGGACTACAGGCACATGCCATGTGCCTGGCATAGGACCTAAGCTCTTACCATGGTCTACAAGAAGAGCCTGGCCCTGCATAGCTTCTCCACACTCCCCTCTTTCTTTCCACTTATTCTTCAAGTCCTTCCATAACTATTCCCTCTTCTGCCCTCCAAACCTAACTCCTCCTTCAGATTAGGGGAGCCTTCCCAACTTCCAGATTCTTCTGCCATGGGCTCTCATAACATCAAATACCTTTGCTTCATCGTACTAACAAGAGCTGCATTTGGACATTCACAAGTGCAATGAGTTGGCCGACATTCTCTGACTCTGTATTTTAAATCTGGATATTTTGTTCATCACGAATTATCACACTAATTTTGATGATTTTTTTAATATTGCATTAAGATATTATTAATCTTGATTCTTGCGAGATTTGTCTTGACAGCCCTTAAATTTGCTGCAAACCAGTGAGTGACTTGCCTCACCCTAGTTCCCACCCACAGTTCCGGCCTTCCAACTCCAGGAGGCCAGGGATGCATAATCCCCAGGGACTCAAACAGCAGCCTGTCTAGGGCACAAACTCAAATCTGCGGTAGAGTAAATTAATGGGTATTTATAGTTTCTGCGTTCTAAGCTTTTGAAGGAAAATGTTGGTTTGTAACACAGATAAAACTGTCAAAATACAATTTTTAAAAAGTGGTTGTGATGTTATTTGTAGAAGAATCACTATGACTGAGATTCCAGCAATCCAAAAACTTCTGTTTCCATGCACTACCCTCTTTGTGGTCAATTTCAGAAGGCAGAGGCCTTGGTTCACAGTTTAATTGGACCCCCAGCTCCTATGGGAGAAACTAAACTTCCCTTGAACTGAGTTCATACGACAACAGATGAGTTTGTTCGTTTTGGTTTACATCCTTAGAGCTATGGAAAGAAAAGTTAAATGATAATAGGAGCAAAATTAATTTACTGTAAGAGGTGGAGTGTGAAACGTAAAATTAGATTTTCTAAACATGCTGTCTCCAATTCCCAGACAGAACCACACCCTACCACAAATCAAGTCACCAGATAGAGTCAGTGATAGGGGAGGAGATTATAAATTAATCTAGTTTATTGTATGCGCTGCCTGAATAGTTTAGGGAGTGATAAAAGGGTGTTTTCTGATGAATTGGGTTAAAGAAAAGATCTTCAACTTCAGCTAAGACAAGAGAGAGAGTTTGTGTGTGTTTCCATCCAGTGTGCAAAGGGACTGCCATTTAAAGGCTAGGAAAGAATGACTGCTCAAGATACTTTGGCACATTGACGTTATATTTCTTATTGAGTCCCAAATATTAACATTTTTATCACCAAAAAAAAAAAGAGAATGGTTTAAACCTGATCTCAGAACTTGCCTCCACAGTTTCTAAAGACTCATTAGCAAGGCTCCACACAAACCAGAAGGGAAGTTGTTTTTCACTATTTCTGCCTTGAGAAACCTGACCTGCAAGTAGTATGTTCTAAGCTAAAGAACTAAAGAAGCTTTATCTAAGTTCCATTACAAATGAATGGGACCCCGCTATGCCTAACGAGGCACATCCGGGAATGATAAATAGTTTAAATATTTTCCCCACTGAAAATTATCTTTTATTTTCCAATCTCACAATTGAAAGTTTAGTCAGAAACAGACCAAAAAAAAACCATAGAAATGTCGAGAACTGCTCCTAGAGATAGATAGATGGATGGATGGTTAGATATGAATTGCAGAAAAGCTTCAAGTCAACATTTAAGAGGCTTTGAAATATTGATTTGGGGGTGTTTTTTAACGTTATGGGTGTACTTAGCCCAACTAGGTAGCGTTGACTGACCGCTGCTTTCAAAGTGAGTTGTGTTACCTTTAGAGATATGAGCAGTCTTACTAATGGCTGAAAAAACAACAACCCACAGTAATAGTTCACCCGCAACTCGGGGTCCGGTGGGGAGGGAAGTGGAGACCGGGCAGCGAGAGCGCAGAGAAAGGTGAGGGTGTGTGTTCCAGTAGACCTCTCTTTCCACGTGGTAAAAACTGCCTCCTAGGCCGGGCGCGGTGGCTCACACATGCAATCCTAGCACTCCGTGAGGCCGAGGCAGGCGGATCGCTCAAGGCCAGGAGTTCGAAACCAGCCTGAGCAAGAGCGAGACCCCCGTCTCTACTAAAAATAAAAGAAATTAATTGGAAACTAAATATATATTAAAACTTAGCGGGCATGGTGGCGCATGCCTGTAGTCCAGCTACTCGGGAGGCTGAGGCAGAGGGACTGCTTAAGCCAGGATGTAGGTTGCTGTAGCTAGGCTGACGCCAGGGCACTCACTCTAGCCCGGGCAACAGAGTGAGACTCTGTCCCAGAAAAACAACAAACAAACAAAAAACTGCCTCCTCCTCTTGATTTTCATCTCCCGGGTATAGAAAAGCTTACCTGCGACTTATCTTGTGCCCGGGCCGCAGGTGACCCGCCGGCCGCCCCACTCCTCGTCCCGCCTCCTCAGCCCGGCCGCGCCTTCCCTCGGGAATTCGAACCTAATCCCGGCTGGGATCAAACGCGGGTGCAGCCCGATCGGACCCGTCCTCCGGCGCAGGTGGGCCGGGGCGCGGCGCGGGCGGAGCGGAGCCACCGGCGGGCTGGCGGGCGGGCGGCGCGGCGGCTCTGCGCGCGGCGGAGGACGAGGCTGCAGCCCAGGCGCGCGCCGCGGCGGCACGGTGAGTCGGGGCTCGGGAAACTTCGTCCGCGACGTGGGGGGCACGGCGGAGGGACGCGGGTCACTGCTCAGAACGCATCGGTCAAGGTCAAAAGGGTCAGCGAAGCGCGGACGGGCCGCGGCCCGGCGGCCCTGACCCCCGGCGGGACGGCTCGGGGACTCCAGCCTCGGACCGCGGGCCACTGGCCTCAAACTCTTCCAACAGGTAGAGGAGGAGCGTAAATACGCTTTCAAGAAAGCGGTTGTCTAGTCAAGATTTCCTTGAAGTTGTATTTTTTTATTTTATTTGCTGTTGTGGAGACGGGTGTTAAACTCCTGGCCTCAGCGAACCTCCCGCCTCGGCCTCCCATCGCGCCGGGCGGAAGTTGCACTTTGTTTCAGAACTTCACGTAAATATTATATCTCATTACAATAGGCGGCTAGGTCTGTTTTACATCAAAATGTTTATAAATTATTATCAAGACGGCAGACAGTAGCTTCCTTTTCTTTCTCTCTCCACTGATCTCTGGGAAGGGCACTGCCGTCCACCCGAGTGAGTGCAGGAAAAACCGGGGTGACTTAGGCCTGGACTGCGTGCGTTCTTTCCCTCGCCCTTTATCCGCGCCACCAGCAAGTTGGAAGTCGGGGAGGTTCTTCCTGCAGGTTCCCCACCCTCCCTGCGTTGCATCGCCGCCGCCGCCACCTGCTCCTAGTTCCCCCAGTCCTGGGTGGCTAAGCGGCCTAAAAGGTTTCCCCGTTTTCCCGCCCTGGGCTCCCCGAATCCACTCTCCAGGCAGCTGCCCTGGTCTCCTTCTGGCCCCAGCGAGGACGCGCCTCGCAGGAACCTTGCGGTGGTCTCCATCGGTCTGAAGTGGCATGCCCGGGGCCCCTGCCCGCGCCCCGCGCCCCACGCCCGCCTCGTGGGACCCCACCCCGTGGGCGCCCGGGCCGCGCCGCCCCGGCCTCCCCTGCGCTTCCCAGCTTCCCGGACCTCCCCGTCTTTGGAGGTCTTTGGGGACATTCGTGACAAAGATGGCGTCCCCCGGTATTTCCCTCTCGTGCCCCGCTTGGGTTTCTCTGCAGAGCGTTTTTCTTAAACCCGAAACCACTTTGTTTGCCCTACAAACCTCTCTCCTCCGTGATAACCGGGGGCTTTGTATCTTTTTCACCGTTTTCTGCGTTCAGCACCAAGGACAATGTTTGCTCCCTGAACACTTGTCAAAGGATTGAGTAAGGGGTGCGCTCCTGGAATTTACTTCTCTCCCAGTTTGAGAAACGTAAAGTTAGGTTAGTCCCATGCCATTAAGTATTAATTTAAAACTCGGGCTCTGTCCTCGGCCCATGCTTGCCCGGTAAGTTTTCCATGTTCAGTCATGAGTTGCGTAACGGTGTGTTGGATCTAGAAGGGACCACACGTGAGACTCAGGTGGTCCCCTGGGATTGTAATGGAGCTGAAAAGTTCCTGTCACCTAGTGACATCTTGATGATCCTGCCCCTGTGCAGGCCTAGGCTGATGTGTGTGCTTGTGTCTTCGTTTTTAAACAAAAAAGTTTAAAAAGGAAAAAACATAAAAATAAACGATTTTAAGCATGGAAGTTTATAGACTAGGATATAAAGAAAGAATATTTTTGTACAGCTATACAATGTGTTTGTGTTTTAAGCTAAATGTTATTACGAAAACACTCAAAAAATGCAAAAGTGTATAAAGTAGGCCTTGCGTGGTGGCTCACGCCTGTTATCCTAGCACTCTGGGAGGCCGAGGCCGGTAGATTGCTCAAGGTCAGGAGTTGGAGACCAGCCTGAGCAGGAGCTGAGCAAGAGCGAGACCCTGTCTCTACTAAAAATAGAAAAAATTAGCCGGGCATGGTGGCATGTGCCTTTAGTCTCAGCTACTCCGGAGACTGAGGTAGAAGGATCTATTGAGCCCAGGAGTTTGAGGTTGCTGTGAGCTAGGCTGACACCACAGCACTCTAGCCCAGGCAACAGAGTGAGACTCTCACTCAAAAAAAAAAAAGTTTATGAAGTTAAAATGTTACAGTAAGCTCAGGTTAATTTATTACAGAAGAAAGAAATTTTATTAATAAATTTAGTATGCAATGTTTATAAAATGTACACTAGTAAACAATAATGCCCTATGCCTTCACATTCACTGACCACTCACTGACTCACCCAGAGCAACTTTTCAGTCTTGCAAACTCCATTCAGGTTAAGTGCCATCCCTATACTGGCATACCATTTTTTATCTTTCATATCATATTTTTACTGTAACTTTTCTATGTTTAGATATATTTAGATACATAACTACTTAATCATTGTTTTACATTTTTCTATAGTATTCAGTACGTTAACATGTACAGGTTTGTAGCCTAGGAGCAATAGGCTATACCATGTAGCCTAATAATCCATTTCTCAGAACATAGCTCCATCCTTAAGGGACACGTGACTGTAGTTATTTCCACTAACAGACAATGCTTGTCATATAAGTAGTTATATGTCGTGTAAGTAGTTAATTGCAGTACAGGTAATTGCAGGTAAATATTCCTTACCTGCTTATATGCTATATATAACTACTTATATGCTTGTATGTCTACTTATATGACATTGATATATCATTATCAAACTTGATATAAATTATCATTATCAATTTTGTATGTCATCCTCACAAGCTTGCATATTGTTGTGAGAAATAGAATAATACTCACAGACCTGACAAATAATAATCTAGTTTAGAAATGTAAGGACTACACTTGGACCTTGGTAAATTCATAAAGAAAATACCTCCCTCCCCCAACCCTGATCTCTTAGAACTTATCTTTTAGATAACACCTTGCATCATTAATAGCCACTTTTTTTTTTTAGCAACCCAAAAAGACATAGAATAGCCACCTTTTTGAAACTTTTACATTGTGTGTCTAGAGTCTCAGATAAATTCTTCGTAAGTTAATTTAATAGAGTGGATGGTTAAATCAGATATCACCAGTATGATGACTAAAGCATGTTCATTATTTCATTTCATTAGACAAAGGTACTAAGTGCTGGGACGTGTGGTGAACAAAACAGATGAGACCTTGACTCTCACAGAACTTACAATCCAACAGGTAAGACAGATTTTAAATAAGCAATACCAAGAGCTCTGATCTAAGTAAAATGGGAAGCTAAGGGAACACTCAGCTTTCAGACCTAAGGGAACCTGAGAATGGAGGGAAGCCTGCCTGAGGAAGTGATGTCGAGCCGGGATATGAAGGATGCATGGACAAGTGTATATGGGGGGTAAGGATGGGTATCTCATTTTAGTGAGAGAGAAAAGAACATGTGCAATGGATTGTTCTAATGCTTTATTGGAGAGAATATACATTGTGGCTGCATAATGAAATACACAAGAGCTAGAGATAGCAAGAGATGATGAGCTTGGGAGAAATGCAAGAACCAATTAAATTGCAGTTACAGATTAAGTATTCTTTACCTGAAATTCTTGGGACCAGAGTCCAAGTGTTTTGGATTTCAGATTTTTTACAGATTTTGGAATATTTGCAAAATACTTACCTGTTGAGTATCCCAAATCTGAAAATTCAAAATCCGTAATGTTCCAATGAGCATTTTCTTTCAGTGTCATGTTGGCACTGAAAAAGTTGGGTATTGCATACCATTTCTGTTTTCAGATTGTTTGGATCTGTGATGCTCAACCTATATTTTAAATGGACTAATAGGGGTAGAGGGGCTTTTGTGTTCAATTCTAGTGATTAGGCTCCAAAGGTGCTAAGATTTTGCTTAGTAAATAAACCCAGATACAGTCTTCCTGGATTTTTTTCACTTTTTTAAAGGCCACAATAAATAATAACATTGGTAATAGTACATTTATATCAAAAATGAGAGATACATTTAAGAAAGAAATTTCGAACTTCACTTACAGTTTAAACACATTTTATTGTTATTCTATATATTTATTTTTTACCAAAAGTAAATGGCGTGATTATTCTGTTGAGCTGTTATTTTTTAGTGAGGCTATTTAAAAGTGTTTTCAAGCTGTTAATTTTCATCCCACTACTTCCATATTTGCCTCTTTTTATAAAGCCTAAAATTTTTGTTCCTACAGCAAGATGTCAGGACAATAAATAAGGAAATCTTTTATCAGGCACACAATTGTAACATTAACCAGAAGTCTCTCAGAAAAGCAGCAATAACATATTTGTGCTATAACTTTTTTTAGTGTTGCTTTTTGATTTTTAAGGAAATGATAGAAAGCGATTCAGGGCCAAACCACCCCGTGCCTTTATTTTGCTTGTACTCATAAGAGTTGGGAATGTATCTTATTCTCTGGATCCCCATCTTCTAGAACGATGGGTGGGCACACTATGTATAGCCCGTGGGCCAAATCCAGCTTCCACCTGTTTTATTGAACACAGCCAACCTTGGTCCTTTGTGTGTTGTCTAACTACTTTGAGGCTACAACAGCAGAGTTGAATAGTTTCAGCAGAGACCATAGGGCCTACAAAGCTTACATCTGGCTTTTTACAGAAAAAGTTTGCCACCCCTGGTCTAGAAAAGTATGCGGTATGTAGCAGAATCCAACATAGACTTGTAGAATGAATAAAAAGGTAATAAAATAACACTAGCTCACATAAGTATTTGATATATCATTGTGTGCATTGTTTTAATTTCATAGCAGTGTTACATAAAACAGGCATATTTTGCTCCCTTACCCCATTTAGGTTTTTAATCAACATCCACTAGCCACTTCAGCAGAGGTTTGCCTGAGTGCCCTATGTAAAATTGCAAACTCCTACTTTCTACCAGCCTCTTTGCTTACTCTGTAGCACTTAATCACCTTATAACATGGGGCATCCATTGCTTATTTATTTTATAAGCTCATAAGTATGTCTGCTCCATGGAGGCATAGATAGATGTTTGTATGTCTATTAGCTGGCATTTCACAAGTAATGTGCAGCCTAGAGTATGGCTAACATGTAGTACGTGCCCAATATATGTTAGGTGATCAACTAGAGAGGTCACACATCTTGCAGGGATTCCCAGATAAGATCTGGTTATGATTCATATCTTAAGCCAGAGCTCGTTCTCTTTATCTCTTGGGGAGTTTTATCAAAAAAGATGTAAATGTAGCCATTCCTTTTTTATTAGAAAATACGTTCAAAGCCATTTTCTGACAAGGCCTCTGATACTGGACTGTATTTTAACTAAACGTTATTATCACAGAGCAGGTGTTTGGTGGAGACGACTTTCCCAGATCACTACTACCTGGAAGTGATTGACATATTCTGGTGCAAACCTTCAAGGAGGAAGCAGGCAAGACAACATGAGCCAGCAACTGAAGAAAAGGGCAAAGACGAGTGGCCGGAAAGGTGTGGGTAAAAAAGCCCCCGGTAGGGCCAAACCAAGGCAACCCAAGCCCAGCCAAGCCCAGCAGGCAGAAGTGGAAGAACCTCTGGGCACAACATGGGCCTTGCAGGATGGCAACGTGTGCTCTGAGACTAGCCCTCCAGCTCTCGAAGAGGATGTCTTCCCCGACTGCTACATAGAATGCATAATAAGGGGCGAGTTCTGTGAACCCATCCTGGAAGAGGACACACTTTTTAAGTCCTTAGAATACCTAAAGGAAGGACCAGACCAAGAGCCTCCTCAACAGGTTCTCGAAGCAAGCTCCTTTCTGCAGTGTTCCTTAGAGTACACGAAACCGGGGGCCACCCAAGAGCTTCCCCGAGGCATTGATGAAGAGAATTCACTTGAGTATTCCGAGTACATGACAGGCAAGAAGCTTCCTCCTGAAGGAATACCTGGCATTGACTTATCAGATCCTAAACAGCTCGCGGAATTTGTTAGAAAGAAGCCCAGAAAAAATAAAGATTATCTACAGGCCATCCCCTGTCCTCAGAGTGGCTGCCCGCGGAAGCTGAGGAACGCAGCCGCCCTGAAAAAGCACCTGCTGGTGCACGCGCCCCGAGACCACGTGTGCGCGGAGTGCGGGAAGGCGTTCGCCGAGAGCTCCAAACTGAAGAGGCATTTCCTGGTCCATACCGGAGAGAAGCCGTACCAGTGCACTTTCGAAGGCTGCGGAAAGCGCTTTTCCCTGGACTTCAATTTGCGTACGCACGTGCGCATCCACACCGGGGAGCGGCGTTTTGTGTGTCCCTATGACGGCTGCATCCGGAGGTTCGTTCAGTCAAATAACCTGAAAGCCCACATCTTGACGCACGCGAAGGCGCAAAAGTACCTGTGAAGGCGAAGGCGGGAAAGAGTCCTCCACCAGGATGAGCCTATTAACAGAAGAGTCGTCAGCAACAAATATACCTCATTGATTATTGTTTTTCAATCATTATTACAGCCCTAAAAGGCATATTCTTTAGTGTTAATAAGGTGCTCCTAATACTTTGGGATACCATTTTTTGAAACATCTTGTATTCTATGGTGTGCTTCCAGCAGGAAGGTTGGTGATAAGTTTATTTCAAAAGCATAATCTTTAATATATTATGTATTGGATTATTGGATATGAGGCTTATTTTCACATACTATAAATGTGAAAATAACTTTGATTTTTAGTTTTCTAGCTTTTGCCTTTTAAATATATACTTCATGGTGCATATGATAATCCTAGAGATGTCCAACCCTGAAGAATGAAAATTTTGTAGTAGTCAGTAAATAAGTGAGTAGTTTTAAACATTTTTAAAGTTAAATGTACCTTTTTTGATTTTTATTTTCCTGTTGTATCAAACAATACATTTTGAAATCATAGTTAAATGTGTGTGATTGATAACGTTAATCCATTTGAATCCATTTTAGATATTTAGATATAAAAGTACATAAATTTAGATTTAATTAGACTTAAATTAAATTTAGATATAAAAGTACATAAATCTCCAGTAATGTGCTAAATCTGGATTAAAAAAGAATCAAAGAAATGTGAGTTACATTGTGAGTTATAGGGAGGAAGTTGCCCATATATGTGGTTTGTTAAGGTATAAATTGTCGATGCAGTTTTGGAAGATATTTGCAAGTGGGCTGCATTAGTGTTCTAGGGCTGCCACAGCAGTGCCACAAACAGGGTGGCTTAAGCAATAGAGATTTATTGTCTCACAGTTCTGGAGGTAAGAAGTCCAAAATCAAGGTGTGGGCAGGCTTGGTTCCTTCTGAAGCTGTCAGGGGAGGATCTGATTCAGGCCTCTCTTCTCAGCCTGCAGGTGACTGTCTTCATGTTCTCACGGCCCCTCCTCTGTATCCTCACGTCTCTTCCTTCCCTCTGTACCTGTCTGGGTCCAAATTTCCTCTTATGAGGACATCAGTCCTATTGGATAGGGACTCATCTTAATGACCTCATTTTAACTTGCTTACCTCTGTAAAGACCCCATCTCCAAATAAGGTCACATTCTGAGGTACTGGGAGCTTAGATTTTAATGAATGAATTTGGCAGGGGGAAGGGAATACTGCCTAACCCATAATATGTGCATTATTTTGAACCTAATAATTTCATTTCTAGAATTCCATTCTGCATAAATATTGGCACTAACGTGAGAAGGCATTTGTTAAAGGATATTAACTGAATCATATTTTTCATAGTAACAAATTTATAATTTCAATGTCCAGTAAGAGGAAACAGGTTGTATAAGTCATGCTATCTCTATTCAGTAAAAAATATACAACTATCTGTAAAGAAGAGGGCACCAGCCAGAAGGAAGCAACAAAATGAGTTTGTTTTTAATAGATGGAACAGAATCTGGTATATTTATTTACTTGCTGTGGAAGAAAATTCAGAGAAAGTGGTTAAATATGGATAACGTGAGAAATTAGTTGTCCAAAGGTGGCTAGTAAAGTTAAAATCTAACTCTGATGTAGGAGTTAACTTATTTTTATGATTATAAAGTGAATCATTGATTGGAATCACATTATAATGGGTGGACATATGTAGCCATCAAACTTGGAATGCATTTTTCTCCCAGAATAAGTAAGATAAGTGATCAGGTGTAACTAAAAAAACACATTTCCTTGATTTTAAGATTTAAGACACCACTGGAAGTAATACTAATAAATACCATAAATTTAAGTTTTTCAGAAAAATAAAAACACTAAATGAATGAATCAACTTTAAGATTAATCTTGATGTTAGAAATGCCAAAATCTAAAACAAATCTGGTCTTTAGTGGTTCCATACAAATGGATAGAATTGTTTTTTTTCTATTTCTGTGAAAAACTGCTGTTGGAATTTTGACTGTAGATTGTTTTGCATAGTATGGGCATCTTAATATTAATTCTTCCAGTCCATGAACACAAGATATATTTCCATTTATTTTTGTCATCTTCAATTTCTTTCAACAATGTTTATAGTTTTTAGTGTATGAAGTGTAGGAAGTATCTTTCACTTCCTTCATTAAATTTATTCCTAAGTAATTTACTCTTTTGGATTCTATTATAAATGGGATTGTTTTCTTGGTATTTTTTTCAGATAGTCATTGATGTTAAAGAAGTACAAATGATTAAAAACTGAAAATTATAAAGTAGAGGCCATCACTATGTATCACTAGTACATAGGCCCTACTTAGTAAGCAATTAGTTAGTAAATTATGGAATGAATAAATATGTTAAAATATAGCTTAATATGTTTTTTAACAACCACCTGTAATAAAGTCTATCAAAATTTAATTATATGTAATTCCAAAATGGCTAATGAAAAAGGCATTATTAGTGTTTGTATAAAATCTGATTACTCTGAAATAAAAGTGAACAACTTTACTAGAGTAATACATGTTCTTTAAAAGGAAAAAAAGAAGTAAATGTTTGTGCATATACACACATTCTTACTCCCCAAAAGTGATCTCACCAGTCTTAAAGATTTTAATTGTTGCATTTTGTTTTGACCATCTTTATTAATGGTGAAGCTGATCTTAAATCTCATTATCTTTTTTTGTTTTTCCTGCCTTCTCTACAAGGGACAGAACAGAGTTTTTTCACCTCCCAATATCGTGTCATACCTTTTACATTCCTACTTTAGATCAGTTTCTTTTATCTTATTTTCTGTGATACTTGCACAGGTTTTCCAATGATATCTGACCTATTTATTTCACCATTGCGGCAATATGCATTGGTGGACATAGTATTTTCAGAATTCTATCCAAAAGCAGATTTGCCAGATTCTTACATTTCTTTCCTGCTGCGCATATGCTTGTGCAGGAATCTGTGTGTGCTTGTGTTTTAATTACCTGATGCACTGATTCTGACTGAATAAATTGCATGATTACATCCTACATTGGACACAGAACAATGCAAGTGATATTAAAAAGCCATTATATTTGCAACTCTGAGCATGAGCCTATAATTAAAAAGCAATTGGATGAAATTTGCTTTAAGAGTACAAGAATTTAAGCAAGATTTGGTAAATGACCATTAACAGTTAACATGTGGTTTTTATTAGGCCTTTTGCTTCTTCTCTTCATGACCCTGGAGTTGAATTTCATAGATGCTGGTGGACCAGGATTGTGAGAACACCTGTACAAAGCTCTGTTTTACCATGTGGCTAAAATTAAATAAAACAACCCCACATAACTTTTGTGACTTAGTAAATCAAAGGAATTAGGTAGGCTACAATGATCCCCTGAGCATTAATAAACTATCCTTAATGCTCCTAAGATTTTAGTTATATGTCATAAAAAGCATAGTATGTGCTCCATGCAACTCAGAGTCTTGGTCATAAAATACATATATACAAATCAAAGAAGTAATAAAAGTTGAGAGAATTTTGATTATCATCACTGTTAAATATTAAAAAGTTGCTAAAGTTATACACAAACGTGTAATAGTACGCCATCTTTATCTAAGGCAACTGAAACCTTTGCAAACTGCTGAGGACTAAGCATGGCAGTGACGTTTTTTATGGGAAAAGCTTTGTGTTTATCAAACGTACATATATGCTTTATAGATTTTACGCTTAAGGCAGATTAAAGACAACTACGAATTCTTTGATACTCCTAGTAATAGTCAGAATCTGTTTTCCTTCTTGTGTTTGGGCTGGTCTGTGACTGCTTTGACCAATAGAGTACAGTATGATGCAAATGGTGCTGTAATGGCTATGCCAGTTCCAGGCCTGGCCCGAGAGAGGCCTGGCAGCTACTTTTTCCTGGCTTGCTCCTGGAAACCAGTTGCCATTTAAGAAGCATGACTGCACTAAGACCACCATGCTGGGCAAAACCCAAGCCCCGCCACATGCAGAGGCCCTGTAGGGTAAGACAGCACGTGGAGAGGGAGGCTAAGGAGTAGTGAGGTGCCAGACTTGTGAATGAGGGAGCCAGCTGGAAAGGTCTTCTGGCCCTGGTCACCCCAGGCGACACCACTGGACTGGAGACAACCTGCCTGAATCGTCCCTTCCCAAGTTTCTAACCCACCAAATGGTGGACAACGTAAAATGACTGATTTAAGCCGCTTAAATTTTGGGGTTAGCTTGTTATGCAGCAAAAGATAACGCACCCCATTTCAGACTTGTTTGGATTTTATCGTCTCTGCTTTATATTTGTGTGTGTGTGTGTGTATGTATGAACATACGGCTAGTTACACAGATTTTATCATATAACTAGTTTATGCCTAAATTCAAAAGAAAGTCTTTAATTCTATTTCGAAGTTTATATTGTAGATTTATTTTTTCAGAGTCCTAACAGTGGGTAGTGAGTTCCCTCTTCTTAGATCATTTGGTGGGATCTCTAAGGAAACTGCGGCTGTTTTTAATAAAACTAAAACCTAGTCTGTCTCGATTGGTGGATGGGGAATTCCTACTTGCGAGAAATAGTTTCTCCTCGAGGAACCAGTTCTGTTACCTGGTTGGGTCACCTCTGCCTTAGAGCTGTAGTCCCTAATCCCCCAGGCTGCCCTCTGTGGCCTGTTAGGAGACAGGCCACGCATCACCACCTGAGCTCTGCTAACCCCCGACCCGGGAGACCCCTTATCCTCCCATCCCCAGTCTGTGGAAAAATTGTCTTCCATGAACCTGGCCACTGGTGTCAAAAAGGTTGGGGACTGCTGCCTTAGAGGAATCCCATTAATTACCACTGCCACCGCCACTGTCATTAAAGGGCCACGCTCCACTTTAACACTCTGACCCAAGCCTGAGCAGGTGGCTCTTCCTGTATTGCTTAGTAGTAAAACTGAGATGAGGTTGGAACACTTAAAGACTATTAAAGGCAAGACAATAACAATAAACCTTGTTTTCTCAGGCCACAGGCTTAAGAGAGGTCCACCTATTTCAGGATCCAGAGTTAACAGAAAAAGCTCCAGGGATTCATTTTTACCTGAAACCTGGTTTAGGTTTCTGACTGAGGACCCCCTTATTCCCCTAGCATGTCTCTGTTCCCGTCGCAAAAGTTGATATCCACACACTATGTGATTTCACATCTCACCTACCC